TATTCTAATAAAAAGCATAAAAGCCCATACAAATAAATTTAAAAAAGGGTACCGTCCCAGTGACAGCGTTTGTACCAAAAGTGTACCACATCATGGTGTAACTAGGTTATAATTAGGTAGGGTGACCATATTTTAGTTTTCAAAAAAGAGGACAGTGGGGGCAGGATGCAGATGGGGGTGGGTTGTTGGGTTTTAAAGTAACCCTTAAAGTAGCGCAAAACTCAAAATATGTCATTTCCATACTTAAAATTACATATTTTACAGTCACCGTTATGCAGATTGATTAGGCTATAAAAACTTCCTACCAGTGGCCATCCTTTACAAAACTTAACATCTACCACATATGTAGAATGCAAAATGTTTCAATACAAGCATTTCAGTCAAATGCAATTTATGCAATATTTCAAACCTTTAACCCAGGGGAGAAAATCAGCCCGCCGCAACCGTTTAAAATTAGCCCGATTCCGTGCAAAAAATGCGGATTTGGCAACCCTGCATGCTACACGAGCTGCATCCAAAGGGATTTAAATACTCCGCCATTGATAGTGGCTCCCTGATACGCGAAAATTATATTCAATATCAGAATGTTTGCGGGAGCAGGCCAGAAATTCAGCGGGAGCGGGGTTAAGAAAACAGCGTGCAGGGCTTTAATACAAAAACGTACACAATGAATGGCAACTGTAGAAAGCAAAAGCCAAATCCCGGACATTTTGGGCGATTTAGAAATCCCGGCCGGACGCATATTTTTAAGTCCAAAAAGAGGATATATGGCCACCCTAAATTAGGGATGCACAATATATCGGTATCAATTCTTTACATTTATAGGTGGATATCGGATGAATAAATAAGCATTGGATTTTACATGAGCATTCTCATTTTATGTTTTTACATTTAGATTACATTTGCCATCATTTAATGCTTCCTCAATATTTTTAATATTTGAAAACGCTAATAATTTAATAATATTTTTAACACTACTACCACTACTACTATAAATAACTATCTATCTATCTATCTATCTAATTTTAACTTTAAATTTTGATGTTAAATCCACTATTGTATTGGATATAAATGTTCTACAGTCTATACGTTATATAATTACATAAGAAGTAACTGTAATTAAATTACAGAAAAAAATAAGAGTAATCCCTTATTTGACTTTTTCAATGGAAAAGTAATTAAATTACAGTAACTAATTACTTAGTAACTAGTTACACCCAACACTGATTGTTGGCTATTGCTACAAATATACCTGTGCTACTTAAGACTGGTTTTGTGGTCCAGAGTCACACACACACACACACACATACACACACACACACCTACCTGTATATATATATATATATATATTAATTCCTATTACGAACACATGAAAAGAAGGAAAATTATGCCGAGGATATTCAGGGATACATATAGAAATGTTGATACTGCTGAATATTCCTGCAGCGCTGGGGGTTTCCTATGAATAGTTATTTCATGTGCTGAATATTTGCATGCATGAATATGGTGAATCTGTGTTTGTCTTAACTTCCTGTGACCTCCTGTGCTCATTTACTGCAATCCATCTCCAATCTCTGCTCCTCGGGAATCGTTAAACACGACTCCAAAGGATTCCATGCTACGAATATCTCCTGTCAGTTCACGGTACGTCCCGCAGCAGAACCACATTTCCATCACTGAAAGCCCCTCTCTGGGCACGTCAGAGTCCAGTCGATACAGACATAGAGAAAAGCAGTGACCTGTCATTGTCGTGCTGTGCTTCTGACAGTCCTTAACACTCAAATGGACGACCCCCGTCTGGAATAAAGACCCATGGCACTCGCAGCATTGGTGTGCCACTGTCTGGCACCCAGATCAGCTGGGTGTCAGGTCTTGTCAGTGATCTGGCCCTGGGGATAAGAACGCACGGGCAGAGAAACCAACTCTGTCCATGAGATGTGCCTGCTGCCTGCACCCCAGACTCTGTCATGGTGAATTTGCCAAGCAGCTTAAACACAGGACACAAGTTGTGCTGACCTGTCATTGTCGTGCTGTGCTTCTGACAGTCCTTAACACTCAAATGGACGACCCCCGTCTGGAATAAAGACCCATGGCACTCGCAGCATTGGTGTGCCACTGTCTGGCACCCAGATCAGCTGGGTGTCAGGTCTTGTCAGTGATCTGGCCCTGGGGATAAGAACGCACGGGCAGAGAAACCAACTCTGTCCATGAGATGTGCCTGCTGCCTGCACCCCAGACTCTGTCATGGTGAATTTGCCAAGCAGCTTAAACACAGGACACAAGTTGTGCAACGGATTGAGGCCAATGAGATGGATGATGAACAATAGTTTTTTAGAGTCAACACAAAAGCCTCTTTGCTTCCATAATCTGATGCACAGTGGCCCCAAAAATTATTTGGACACGTTTGCATGCTTAATAATGTATGATGTACATTTAATTAGATTACTAAATGTAAATATATATGTTGCAGAAAAAATTCCTGAAAGAATCCCCCAAACCATGACACTTCCTCCACTTTTTTACACACTTGGGCTTCAGTCTTTCCCCAGTCTGATGCCGAACAAAATATTTCAGACCCAAATAAATTAAACTGGCTCTCATCACTGAAGTGAACTTTGGACCAGTTCTCCTCTCTCCACACAACATGCTCCTCAGCAAAGGTTAGTCGAGTCTTTTGATTCTTTCTGCTGATGAGAGGTTTGGTCACTGCAGAGTGTGCTTTCAGTCCAAATTCTCTTAAACGTGCCGAGACAGATACTTACCCTGTTCAGCACTGAACTGGAGAGCAATTCCAGCTGCAGTGCTGAACCGATTACCCATTGAGAGTCTCTGCATTATCGTGTCTTCTCGAGCATTTGTCTTACATGGACGACCAGCCTTTTTGGGGGACTTGAATGAATTAGTGTCATTGTAAAACTGCACAGAAATCACAGATTTGGAATGACCAACTTCTCTTGCAGTGGCTGAAAGGGTCATCCCTATATATATATATGGAAGTTTAAGTATAAAACTACTTTTTCGAGTATTTTTCACAAGAAAATACTATTTAAGTTTTTGTACTTCATAAATTTCACCTTTAATTCAATGTGTTGCTGGCCATTTCTTTGTAATTCTTTGAGAAATTTACTAGAAATGTATGAGTGAAAAAGTTTTCAAAGTAAATCCTTCACCATTTTTTTGGTGTTTATATATAAACAGTGAATAAAAAAAATATATATATATATAGATAGACAGATACATAGATAATAAAAAACTTTTTTATTAAATTTTTTCTCTATAGTCCAAATACTTCTGTTTTCTCAAGTGAAACAGAATATTCAATTATAAAAAAAATAAATAAGACCAAGAATAAGACTGTAAACTGGGTTCATTTTGATTTCATGTTGACCTAATCATTGTTGGGTCTTGACCTCTTCTGTCCCAAACATAGAAACACAGTTTAGTGTATCATCTGTTCCCCTTCCTTCTCCAGCCTTCGCCGTGTCCAGTAACATACGTCACCTATTCAAATTTCCAGTCGGTGCACGGCGTGTTTGTACACTCTCTGAGGTTTTGTGTTCCTTCTCTTACAGTAGTGGAAGCCGGCGGACTCCTATCTTCAGCATTAGAGCTGGGAACAGAGATAAGCTGCTCTAAAACGCAGAGACAGATCGTCAGAGCTGCTCGTTGTTGTGAAAGATTAGGAACACCCATCCTCAGAGCCGGGCAAAGCTTTCATTTGTCCGCTGCGCTCGACCATGGCCCCTTTCTCCCACTTGCAATTTCAACATTTGAGAAAAGTTCTGATTATAGCTGCCCAGGGTTTTTCTTTATCTTTTTGTTTCTGCAGCATGGGAAGGATGGGAAGAAAGGTCCTAATAATTGCAACTCGGCTGCTTTAATTACGCCAGAACGTTTGGCAGAGAATTCATAACATGCCTCGGTCTTTTCCTTTTCAAGGTCTCAACAATGAAAACAACGATTCCTGTTTAATTGTTTTCCGAGTGGCGAAGCGTATTCATTAGCGATCCACATTCATTATATCCACAGCTACAGTGCAAAATGCAATTTGAACCTCAAGATACTGAACAGATATTCAGAAATGGTCAATTTTATTCCTTTCAACCTTGAATAATACGATCTCTCACTGCATTCGAAATCATAAGATGATGATATCAAAGCTTTCTTAACTTTCACACCTGGTATGCCACAATTACTCAACATGAGCGCTGCATCTAAGCTATATTCTCCCCAACAGACTGTAATCTAATGTTTCGTCTCCACACCAGCTTATGGGCCAGCAACAGCTGGTCGTATCACCTTGCTCCATCTGCCAAATGATGCTGGCTACCGCCATTCCTGCCCACAAGACCTTGGGCATTATTCTGTCTTCCTCTGTTTACGTACATAACGGTATTTATGAGTGCTTGGCTCCGTCTCAGATCAACAGTTTTGTGGCTGCTTCCCCACCAAAATTCATTTAGCTAAGATGTTTGTCGGCCTCTGTCCTTCCTGGATATTATGCTTAAGTTACTTTAGCTCCCGAAAGTTACAGGTGATCTTGCTGGAACCAATTAAAGGGATTATGTGTTTAGTAAGTCTGCTAGTTCTTTTAGCAGACTTAATAGTTCATATAAAGTATAATTAAGCCATGTTGCATGAATATGCATCACACCACTGGTTCTTGCATGTTTCATAACTGATGTGCCAAGTTTGAATATGAGCGAACTTGACTGAGATTTCAAAGCTTTTCAGTGAATTTGAAGAACATAGTTTGGTCTGTTCTTTGGTGTGGCTTCAGAAGACTTGAAAAATAATGCATAAAGTCATATAGACTACTTTATAATGCTGTGCAACCAATACATATTGCTTAACAGTCTCTAACAGTTTAACATTTTATTTAAATATGTGCTTGTTACAGTTTGACATGTTTCCATTGTATCTTTATTTGTGCTATTATTTTCAGCAAGTAAAAGGAGGATCAAAAGAGATTTTTTGGATCTGGATATTCTTCAAAGCATCTCCCTTTGAGATCCAAGGAAGATATAAAAAACATAGCAGTTTGGAATGAAATAAGGGTGCGTAAATGATCGATTTCAGCATTGTTTTTATTTTTTGGGAGGGTTTTAGTCATACTTTTCCCAAAAATCATTTTCTCAATAGTCATTTCTCAAAAATATCTTTTAAATTGAGTCAATATTTCATTACATTATTTTTTTGTGTTTAAATGGTAGTGTGTTTTACTCTAGTTTTAGTTGATGCAGTTTTAGTTGATGACATTTTAAATGAAAATGTACAAAATTAAGTACAAAAAAGCAAGTATTTTTTTGCAATAATTTAAACATTAACATTAAACAAAAACGTGAAAACTTTTTTTTGGTGCTGTATTTACTGTACATGTTTCAGTGCATTGTTGTGGAGGCAGTATATTTTTTCCCATATATTTTTGTCAACAGTAGGTTTTTATTAAAATTTAACTCTCACTTTTGAGAATGTTTTAAATTTTGTCAAATTATATTCATATACATATTTTCATATTAAGTATTCATATTATATTTATCAAATTTCAGTCAATGAAAATTTTAGATGAGAAAATACAAAATTAAGTACAAAAAAGCTAATAATAATTTTGCATTAATTTAAACATATTTCTTTAGCAAAAAACTTTTTGTTGTACTAGTTACTGTCTATGTTTTAGTGGTATGCAGGCAGCGAATTGTTCACTTCTGCTTTTGTCAACAGTATGTTTTGATTAAAATGGTTTAATATAATTTTTTTGTTTTAAATTTAGTCAATATTTTGTCATTCATTCATTGTAGTCTATAGTCTAATTTCAGTCAATGAACAAAATGTTTAATACAAAATTAAGTATGAAAAGCTAATACTCAAACACTTTTTTGCAGTTATTTAAACATTAATATTTAACAAAAATGTAAATACTGTAGTCTGTGTTTCAGTATGTTCAGGAAAAAGCATATTTTTTTCTCTCTCATACTTTATGATTGACAGAAACCCTTCATCAACAAACATTTTTGTCAGTTATTTTGTTGACAAGATTCCCTCTTCACGAAACCTCCCTTCCGTGATTGGAACCTGCAGCGTTTAGGTAAGAGTCCAGAAGTTTTAACCAATAAGCCACATGACCGCAAGCATCCGTTAAAGACTCAACTCTTCAACTACCCCAGTTGAGTCTAATGAGTGATAACCATGACAATGCAAGTAATTAGAAAATGATGAGACATCAAAGACTTGCTTCAAAGGCTTTCGGGAGAGATTTGGAGGATGGCGCTTTGGGCGCTCGAGATGGATATCACACGGATGAGTCTCACATCTGTCTCAGCTGCGCCAGCTGACGCAAGCCTTGTTTCTCAGAATAACCCTGACAGCTCAGCTCCATCCTGACACGCGTGTGCCACCGAGGAGGAGCAGCCCATGCAGAAACAATGTTTCTGAACCAACTAATTGTTTTGGACTAGTGTGCATGCTAAAGTTCGAACTCGCATGCTGTCAAAGACTTGATTTGAAGAGCAGAAATATAACCTGTGTTCTTTCCAAGAGTTCCTCTAGCATGTTGCTCCGACCCGTCCGGCATAAACATGCGTGAAATCTTTCCATTTGACCCTTCAAGGCCGTGTTCCACTAGACCTGTCATATGAAAGACTCCTCAAATATTCCCATGTCGGAAAGGGTTGTCTTATCGGTGCAGAGGCTATTCCACAGTTCATGGGCCGTGTGACACTGTGTCTAAGGTTCTCATTTTCCTCTCACTTAAAGCAGCACTGCAGTGACGTCCCTGGTGGGTCCAGTCAGGGGAAAGCTGTCTGCTCCAAGGCCGGGGTCGGCAGCTCCTTCAGACCACAACTGCCAGAACGCAATAGGGAAATGGCAACCCAGACGCGCGCCTGACTGAATACGCAATGAAGACGGCTGTGAGAAAGACATATATGTCAGATATTTGGGGATGTTAAAAACACGCCGGCTGAATTTGACTGATTAAGCCAGTGAAGACCAATCGGACGTGATGAGATTTACTTAACGTCGAAAAATCCCTTTAGTCATTTATGTTAAGGAAGTAGAATTAACGCTCAATCCTGACACGAATAAAAAAAAGCACAGATCCCGAGAGAGAGCGTGATGTATGTCAGAAGTTGCGAGGAAAAGTTGGGCTCTTAACCCAGAGAGAAATGGCATTGCTCATGGGTTGCTCAAGGAGTTTTATTTAAGTATAGATGCTGAGATTTAATAATAGACACATTTCTGTAGAGCTGTAAAGGTATACGGTTAGACCTTAATCGGGTTAGATGCCGTATTGAGTTTTATGTGGATGAAAACGAGGCTGTGAGGGCATGGACTGTATAAATCATGTCATTTTCACAACTTTCAAGACCGTTTTATGGAGTTTTTATGTGCTGGAAGACTTTTAGAAAGATGCTTCATCAACTGAACTGATCTTCTATCAATCAAAGCCTCGTTTTCAGTACTATTAAAACTTACGGTAACACTTTAGTATAGCGAGCAATTCTCACTATTAACTAGTTGCTTATTAGCATGTCTATTATTAACATATTGGCTTAGGAAGCACATATTCTGCATGATTCTACATCCCTAATCCTACCCAATACCTAAATTTAACAACTACCTTACTAACTATTAATAAGCAGCAAATTAGGATTTTACTGAGGCAAACGTCGTAGTTAATGGTTTGTTAATAGCGAGAATTGGACCTTAAAATAAAGTGTGACCAAACTTACATATTGCGAAGACAAAGGTCTATAGCATAGGTTCACTGTTGAAAAAAAACTTGCATCTGTTTTTGCCAGAACTTTACCATCAAAGTTGTAGGTTTTACAGATTTAACCTAGAGTGCAAAGGAAAAAAGCTTCTTTTTTATTAACTGAAATAATATACTAAAGTCTGTTTCAACCACCTTAAAACGCAGGCAATAAAGTGAAAGCCACATGATAAATCAAAGTTGATCACAAGAAGTCTTTTATACTAATACATATATGGTGCACATTGTCATACAAATACAAAGCACAATCAAGTTTAACATGTGACACTATAAGCATTCATTTAACAACATAAGATGTAACATCAAACCCTAATGCACATAACTAATAAACTGAGAAAAAACTAAGAAGAAACTTAGTTTTGAATGAAACCAATGAAAACCATTGAATGTGAGCTGTGTGATATTTGAGGGAATGTCAACAGTTTTTCACAGTAGCATTTTCACAGTGTTTTTTTTTTTTTGCAGGAGAAGAATCTGAAAAGCGGAAAATGTATGCTTGTTTACTCTTCATTTATTCTCATTGTGTAGGAGAAACAATTGAAGACCTTCTTTGTAATTCACTTCTTTTTTATAGAAAGGCCTCCTGTAACAAAAACAGAGATGTCTGATTGTGCTGGGTGCTTAAAAAAGGTCAAATCTGGTGCACTTGTTGCATGAGAGAAAATTATTCATTGTGAAAACACAAATATGAGGTGCCGTCAAACTAGACTTTGTGCTCCATTCATATGCATGTGAAAAGTAAGAGTCAGTATTTCACTGCATTCTGAAGTTCATGTTGACCTGTGAATTTGTTTAGTTTACATTTGACCAATAGAAGCTCTAAACATCAAAAATTGCATAACATTTATTCAGTCTTAATCTCGGGACTGAAATTGCTGACAAAAGTGTTGATAATGAAAAGATAAGAGTAAACATGCATCATGGCAGTGAACAATTTTAAACATACTGTTGTTGAATATTATTTTTGTTGAATAAAATTGTATGTAATTTCAGTCTGAGTAAAATGGACTGAAATCAACAAATATGGCATAACAAATACTATTTAAAAAAAAAGTCAAACTACAAAGAAATTATAAATAAATAATTAAAAATATAAAAATATACACTGCATCATATTATGTTTTCCATATTCTTTTTGAGGTCCAAAATATTTAGCAAGTTTAAAAGCTAACCAATCAGGGCTGCATTTCCCAAAAGCATCGTAAGTTTAAATGGATCGTAGACCCATTGAAACCAATGGAGCTACGATCAATTTAGGCTTACAATGCTTTTGGGGAATGCAGCCCAGGACTCCCAGTTCTCTTTGCCCACCAAAAGACCCACCCAATTTTTGTGTGAGGAGGAGCTCGATCACCGAAGCCAAATCTGAAAGCATTTTTACCTCCAGTTGCCATGGCAGCATCAGATCCAAAACCTTTTTGTTTTCAGCTGACATGAAAATCAATGTGAAAAGTTGCTTCTCTCACTCTTTCCTACCTGACAGTGCATCATATCATGGCCTCCATAAATTGTTCTTTTCATTTAGAGCTGATGGAATGAAGGGCAAAAGAAAGAACGTTGGCCACTCCTAAATCCAGCACCGCAGCCGTCAAATCTCCAGCCTTAAGTATTTATCACCACAAATACCGATATGAAGTGATTTCAACAAATAGCTCTTTGTCATATGCCCCACATTATACCTGCCAGCGTGGTAAAATCCTGGCGTACTACATCACGGATTCCCCTTTACTCCAACTCAGCCACTTTTACTCCTTTATTCACCTCCTGTACCCATTTTATATATAAATTTCCCCTCCCTCTTCGGTTTTTATATATTTCCCCATCTTTTCCCCACGTTAATAGCCTTTAACATAGTACAGTGCTGCCCTGGTAACAAAGAGAGGCTTCCTCAAGCCATTAATCACGATGACAAGTCTTTTGTTGTCAGTTAGCAGCTGTGCACGGAGGAACATTACTCTTCTATTCTGGCCCGCGGTGCCGAATCGGCGCGCTCTGCTCCTCTTTTCATGAGGAATCGGAAACTGGAGGGTCCAACCCCTGCTCGCTTATCAGCTGCTAATTGAACTCCCAGCTGTTAAGAAAATGGTCCCTGTGTGTATTTTCAGCCAAGTTTTGGCAGATATAGCAGCCTGGAGTGAACTCGGGAATGTCTGCCAGCCGCGCTAGTTTCTAAAGGTTAATAATTTGTTTTTGATGAAGGATGATGGCAAACTTTGAGTCGTGTGAAACAGTATTTTAAATGACCGGCCCTCTGAGAATTCCCTGCGTGTCAACATCTCAACTTCATTTTTAGCTCTGGGGCTGTTTAGCAAACCTCTTCGCAGTGATAGTTATAGCTGTAGGTGCTAAAAAACGCTGGCCTGTGTAACAGCTGTTATTTACTCGCCTATTGGCTGGTGACTTTATTTGAGGTTGTGAACACTGCAGGTTTTAATTGCCAATTTTTGTATCTAGGATGCCTAATTTAGTTCCCCCTCCTACATAACTGCATGTGTTGACACATTTGTGGGATATTCCTTGCATTAAGCCACCAAAAAGACAGTATGTGGAACAAAATCATTGCATGTCCTTATATTAGACATTTTGGGTCTGTAAGATTTTTTTTTTTTTTAAGAAATTAAGTAACTGAGGAGGCATTAAAGGGTTAGTTCACCCAAAAATGAAATTTCTGTCATTAATTACTCACCCTCATGTTGTTCCAAACCCGTTAGACCTTCGTTCATCTTCAGAACACAAATTAAGATATTTTTGATGAAATTCAAGAGCCTGACCCTGCATAGACAGCAATGCAACTGAAACGTTCTGTGCGCACAAAAAGTATTCTCATAGCTTCATAAACTTAAGGTTGAACCACTGATGTCACATGGACTATTTTAACAATGTTCTTACTACCTTTCTGGGCCTTGAACGTCTCAGTTGCGTTGCTGTCTATGCAGGGTCAGAAAGCTCTAAAAAATATCTTAATTTGTGTTCCGAAGATGAACGAAGGTCTTACGGGTTTGGAGCGGCATGAGGGAGTAATTAATGACAAAACTTTTATTTTTGGGTGAACTATTCCTTCAAATAATCAAAAGTGACAGTAGAGACATTTGTTACACAATAGTTGGAAAAAAATACAAAATGATGTTACAAAGGACTTCTTTTGAACTTTATATTTATCAAATATGGAAACTGTGAAAAAACTGTATCATGGTTTCCATAATGATATTAAACCGTACAACTGTGCTCAACATTGATAATAATAAGAAATATTTCTTGAGCATCAAATCAATATATTAGAATGATTTCTGAAGGATCATGACACTGAAGACTGGAGTAATGATGCTGAAAATTCATCTTTGCATCACAGGAATAAATGGTATTTTAAAATAAAATAGATGAGTTAGGGTTAGGGTTAGATTAAATATTAATTTGTAATAATATTTCACAATATTACTGATTATACTGTGTCAAATAAATGCAGACATGGTGAGCATAAGAAACATTGGTTACACTTATTTTAAGGTGTCCTTGTTACAGTGTAATTATACATTTAAGTACTGAGTAATATTAATGAACTAACTACATGTACTTACTATTGTCAGACTCTGTTCCGTGTTTTGTGTGTGTTTTGCTCCCCATGTGTTTGCATGCCCTTATTTGGTTCTTCCTGTTACTGTTCTAATTATGTTTATTGTTTCATTAGTTCATCCCATCCTTTAGTCCTGTGTATTTATAGTGAGCCCTGTTCTAAGTTTGGTCGTCAGGTATTGTGAATGTCTGTATATGTCTACATCCTCTGCTACGTGTGTTTTCCTGGTTCCCTGAATGCAATTAAAGTCTCGTTATTGTTGTACTCCTGGTCTCCTCGTTCCTCCACAGTTCCGGCTCGGGGTCACTTACCATCAGTCAACGGAGCTCCCAGACACCACCAACCTCGACTGGAAGGAGGCAGTCATCCGGTGTCTGGAGAGCCCCCGATCCAGAAACCCCTCCACCGGCTACTCCGAAGTCAAGCCCGCCAGCCGTGGCATTCCCAAGCTCGCCGACCATTCCTCACTCAAGCCCGCCGACCACGCCTTTCACCCCGAACCTAAAGGGGAATCTAAGGAGGAGAAAGCGGTCGGCTCCAGCCCCAGAGCTCGCTCCAGTGTCGGGTCCAGCCCCAGAGCTCGCTCCAGTGTGGGCTCCAGGCCCCGAATCCAGCCCAAAGAGGGCTCCTGTTCCCGAGTTTAGCCTGTTCCAGGTGTGTCTCGTCATCCCATCCTTTAATCCTGTGTATTTATAGTGAGCCCTGTTCTAAGTTTGGTCGTCCAGTATTGTGAATGTCTGTATATGTCTACATCCTCTGTTACGTGTGTTTTCCTGGTTCCCTGAATGCAATTAAAGTCTTGTTATTGATGTACTCCTGGTCTCCTCGTTCCTCACTCCGCACTCCAGCACAGTAGCAAACATGACAACTATATGGTTAGGGTTAGGGTTTGGCTTAGGGTTGCTTACATGTAATTATGCATAATTTATTGTTATTATAATAGTGAGCACATGTGTAACAAGGACACCTTAAAATAAAGTGTTACCAAAACTTTTCAAAAACATGAAAAAAAAAGTAAATGTTTGGAACAACATGCGACTGAGTAAATAATAATCTAGTAATGGTGGTACTAGAGGTGTCATGATATACCAGTGTTGATGATAATCGTGATATTTAAATAATGAAATATCGTTATCGTGTTAATTAGGGGTGTCGCAATATATCGGTATTGGCGATATTTAAAAATGAATAGTTCACATACGATAATATGACACATAATAATCCAGCGCCAGCACCATTATGGAGCATTAAACTCTCACTTGTGAATAGTTTAATTCATACTTGACACCAGAGGGTGCCCTTGCGCAGGAAGTCAACAAGCGAGACTCATAGGAGTAATAAACAAATTACTTTCCAGAAAATCCCTTATATGGAGAAAGGCATCCAGCTGTCACTGTAGCTGAAAAAAAATGCAGAAAGAAATGTTTTGTATGATTAAACGTGATGAGATTCAGCACACGATTATAACAGTATATGGTTTATCTGTGTTCTTCAAGCCATCTCAGGTATTTTCTTATGGACAATGTATGTTTATATTGCAATGATAATCGACATAGCCTTTATCACTGTATAGAATACTATAAAATAAGAATCAGTTCACAGGAAGAAAGTTAATTCAAACACTCTATCGTCAGAAATATTTCTGAATGGTAATTTTTCTCAATCTACCCCCCATCGGAAGGGTAAATTAATTTCGGACTCAAACTGTGGACGGATGACCACCTCACTGTGTTGTAAAAAGCAAAAGCAAATTCTAGCTAGTTTGCAGTGAACTCAAATTGATCGCCGAGTGTTTCACCACCCAAAAGTGCCGCGCTCTAATTGGCCGTGACATGTGGTTAGCGCTCCAGGTTTCCTCCCTACCCACCATCAAACACGCATGAAAAATAACCCCTAATGCGCAACAAAGCAACAAAACCAGCACGGCTATGTATAAACATGACTCATATTGCTGTTGTTTTTGTCCTAACCGCTGTTGTTGTGAAGATTAGGCTGGGAAAAGCACCGTGCGGCATTAGCCAGCTAC